TAACAAATGTCTGGTTGGACTCTCCAGCTTCCGCAGGTTCCAGAGAGACCGGTGGGAATTTTGACGTGAGGTTTTTCGCAGCATCTCTCAGCTCGAGTTCTTTTCCACTCTACGCTCACAGAATGACTCCCTTCAGACGTCCAGGACAGCCGTGTGGTCTCCGCATGTGGGCCAAAGATGTCACCTTCACCCACAAGCACCTCGTGAGAGCCAGCAGTCCCAGAGGGTCACACTTCACCAGACCTGGTCAAACGGTGCGACCGCCAGTCAGATTTCAGGCCCGGCTCACGCTATGCCAGCGCTGAAAGAAGGCTTCTCCTTCAGGCTGAGAAACCAGAGGAGTTTTTGGAAACGTTGGATCACACTGGCTCCCTGTGTGCTTCAGGGATGTGCTAATGCACCCAACACGTTTATGTTAATTTGAGGTTTGCATTTATGCATCTGGACGCTCTATATGGCTGTGAGAGTGACTTAGAGTATGTGCTGCATACAGACAGGAGGAACATACCATCAAGACTGTGCTACAAAAAACACATTACTGCTGTGCATAAATGAAGATGTATGTGAAGTGTGCATTTAACGTGATGCTTTTACCAAGTGCATCGTTTGTGCTCCAGCCATGATTCCTACTTCTGCTACTGCACTAAGTGAAGCACTGTTTTCATCTGTTGAACCAGAAAACAGAGTCACATCTACAGACCAGAAGACCAGGAGCGACTCTTTTCATGCCAGACCGGAGGGAAACACCTAGAAACCACCCAGAATGGCCAAAAACACACACACAGTGCCACATAACAGGTGCCCAGAGCTCCCTTTAGTCATTCTTTAAAAAACATTGTGATGAAAAAAGGCAAATTAAAGAGCAGAATCTATAAACTCTTTCGCCTGATTTTTTCTTCATTTATATGGCCATAAACACTCCATAAAGAGCTATTAAAGTTGTAGTGGTGGTGCGTTATTGGTCTCTTGGCTGTTTCTTTGTCTATTTGATCATCAGTTTGAGAAGAAGCTCTTAAAAGTTTCATTGTGTGGCTGAACTGAATGTATTTGTACTTTTCCACTCTTTGTGTGTTTTTAGGAAGAAGTCTTTAAAACTGTGTTTGATGGATGGACCATCCGTTCAGGGTGTTTCCCCGAGACGCTGGGATAGATGTGGAGAATGATAGATGGATGGACTTTAAACCTGTGAGCCTTCCATAAGACGAACACGTGTTATACTTGCTCCTTCCTGTTAGCGGAGCATTTTTCTGACCACAAACTGACAACAATGCAAGTCTGGTCCTTCATTTCAATGCTTCAGGTTTCCCCTCAAGTTATCAAGAGAGTTCATTTGCATTTATGAAAGTCAGTTAATAAAAAATGAATGAAAAAGAATGGCAAGTTTGAATCTAAAGCCTTTTGTGTCATGATCATAGCAGCAATGAAGCCAACTAATTGCGAAAAGCAATTAACTAATTGCTAACTGCAAAAGCAATAAATCTACAGTTTCATGCATTGATGAAGCAAAAAGTCAGTTAAACGTCTGCACAGAGAACATGTGCATTAGCCAGTAGCTGGACTGATGGAGGAGAAGGAAAAACACACAACAACCACAGACATTTGGCCTGTTTCCATCCAGCAGTGGCTCTTACACACTTTCCCCATGCAGCGCCGTCTGAAGCCCAGCAATATGTTTCTCATTGTGCTTCTGTGCTCTGTTTCTTCTGCCACTGTACGTCTAAAATCCACCAAAATAAACGTGAGGTGGGAGAAACTGTGGCGTATGAACAGCTGTATTTCACCTAAATGCGTTTTAAATACATGTTTGAACGAGTCTCTGTGTTTGATCAGATTGACAGAATGATAGAAAGTGGCAAAACATTTAAACGAAGCTTCTGAAGTTAAATCAAAATTTTGTTACATTATGTTCTCACTGGAAAGCTCAAGATGCATTGAAAAAAAATGACATTACTGAATTAATCATTTCTACCAACAAAACTTTATGTTTTAACTTTTATGGGTAAAATTATGTAAGAACTTAGATTTACCACTTGTTGCCATGTAGTCATCAGAGATGTTTTTATGATTCATTTCTAATCATAAAAAACCCTATCAAACATGTTGTTGTGGACATGGTTTGCTAAAATGTGCTCAAAGCATGACACTGAGATGACTGAAATGAAGTTTGAGTGATGATACACTTTCATTTGTTTCTCTGTCACATCATTTGTAAATCAAGCAAACTCCAAACATTACTCATACAAACTGTGTTTCCCACTGGACCATGAAGAAGCTGAAGTCAGTCAGTCCGGCTTCAGTCGATGGGTCTGATCATCATACGCACAGACTTCATGGAGTAAAAACCCCCTCCATAATCGGCCCAGAATATGCCGTCCTGAAAGCGGCTGCGATAGACTCCTCCGGAGTACCACACGCCGTTCAGATTGGCCTGACCGCAGGCGCTGTACCACCAGCCAGCCTTGTGGAAATGAGCACAGTTACCTGAGAGACAATCTGCCAGACAGGAGGAAAACGCCTAGAAACCACCAGAATGACCAAAAATACACACAGTGGCCGCATATCAAGTGGCCAGAGCTCCCTTTAGTCATTCTTTAAAAAACATTGTGATGAAAAAAGGCAAATTAAAGAGCAGAATCTATAAACTCTTTCGCCTGATTTTTTCTTCATTTATATGGCCATAAACACTCCATAAAGAGCTATTAAAGTTGTAGTGGTGGTGCGTTATTGGTCTCTTGGCTGTTTCTTTTTCTATTTGATCATCAGTTTGAGAAGAAGCTCTTAAAAGTTTCATTGTGTGGCTGAACTGAATGTATTTGTACTTTTCCACTCTTTGTGTGTTTTTAGGAAGAAGTCTTTAAAACTGTGTTTGATGGATGGACCATCCGTTCAGGGTGTTTCCCCGAGACGCTGGGATAGATGTGGAGAATGATAGATGGATGGACTTTAAACCTGTGAGCCTTCCATAAGACGAACACGTGTTATACTTGCTCCTTCCTGTTAGCGGAGCATTTTTCTGACCACAAACTGACAACAATGCAAGTCTGGTCCTTCATTTCAATGCTTCAGGTTTCCCCTCAAGTTATCAAGAGAGTTCATTTGCATTTATGAAAGTCAGTTAATAAAAAATGAATGAAAAAGAATGGCAAGTTTGAATCTAAAGCCTTTTGTGTCATGATCATAGCAGCAATGAAGCCAACTAATTAACTGCAAAAGCAATAAATCTACAGTTGCATGCATTGATGAAGCAAAAAGTCAGTTAAACATCTGCACAGAGAACATGTGCATTAGCCAGTAGCTGGACTGATGGAGGAGAAGGAAAAACACACAACAACCACAGACATTTGGCCTGTTTCCATCCAGCAGTGGCTCTTACACCTTCCTGTTAGCGGAGCATTTTTCTGACCACAAACTGACAACAATGCAAGTCTGGTCCTTCATTTCAATGCTTCAGGTTTCCCCTCAAGTTATCAAGAGAGTTCATTTGCATTTATGAAAGTCAGTTAATAAAAAATGAATGAAAAAGAATGGCAAGTTTGAATCTAAAGCCTTTTGTGTCATGATCATAGCAGCAATGAAGCCAACTAATTGCGAAAAGCAATTAACTAATTGCTAACTGCAAAAGCAATAAATCTACAGTTTCATGCATTGATGAAGCAAAAAGTCAGTTAAACGTCTGCACAGAGAACATGTGCATTAGCCAGTAGCTGGACTGATGGAGGAGAAGGAAAAACACACAACAACCACAGACATTTGGCCTGTTTCCATCCAGCAGTGGCTCTTACACACTTTCCCCATGCAGCGCCGTCTGAAGCCCAGCAATATGTTTCTCATTGTGCTTCTGTGCTCTGTTCTTCTGCCCCGTAACGTCTAAAAAGCCACCAAAATAAACGTGAGGTGGGAGAAACCGTGGTGTATGAACAGCTGTATTTCACCTAAATGCGTTTTAAATACATGTTTGAACAAGTCTCTGTGTTTGATCAGATTGACAGAATGATAGAAAGTGGCAAAACATTTAAACGAAGCTTCCGATGTTAAATCTAAATTTTGTTACATCATGTTCTCACTGGAAATCTCATGATGCATTGAAAAAAACGACATTACTGAATTAATCAATCATTTCTACCAACAAAACTTATTTTTATGGGTAAAATTATGTAAGAACTTAGATGTACCACTTGTTGCCGTGTAGTCATCAGAGATGTTTTTATGATTCATTTCTAATCATAAAAAACCCTATCAAACATGTTGTTGTGGACATGGTTTGCTAAAATGTGCTCAAAGCATGACACTGAGATGACTGAAATGAAGTTTGAGTGATGATACACTTTCATTTGTTTCTCTGTCACATCATTAAGAATGGCAAGTTTGAATCTAAAGCCTTTTGTGTCATGATCATAGCAGCAATGAAGCCAACTAATTAACTGCAAAAGCAATAAATCTACAGTTTCATGCATTGATGAAGCAAAAAGTCAGTTAAACGTCTGCACAGAGAACATGTGCATTAGCCAGTAGCTGGACTGATGGAGGAGAAGGAAAAACACACAACAACCACAGACATTTGGCCTGTTTCCATCCAGCAGTGGCTCTTACACACTTTCCCCATGCAGCGCCGTCTGGAGCCCAGCAATATGTTTCTCATTGTGCTTCTGTGCTCTGTTTCTTCTGCCACTGTACGTCTAAAATCCACCAAAATAAACGTGAGGTGGGAGAAACTGTGGCGTATGAACAGCTGTATTTCACCTAAATGCGTTTTAAATACATGTTTGAACGAGTCTCTGTGTTTGATCAGATTGACAGAATGATAGAAAGTGGCAAAACATTTAAACGAAGCTTCTGAAGTTAAATCAAAATTTTGTTACATTATGTTCTCACTGGAAAGCTCAAGATGCATTGAAAAAAAATGACATTACTGAATTAATCATTTCTACCAACAAAACTTTATGTTTTAACTTTTATGGGTAAAATTATGTAAGAACTTAGATTTACCACTTGTTGCCATGTAGTCATCAGAGATGTTTTTATGATTCATTTCTAATCATAAAAAACCCTATCAAACATGTTGTTGTGGACATGGTTTGCTAAAATGTGCTCAAAGCATGACACTGAGATGACTGAAATGAAGTTTGAGTGATGATACACTTTCATTTGTTTCTCTGTCACATCATTTGTAAATCAAGCAAACTCCAAACATTACTCATACAAACTGTGTTTCCCACTGGACCATGAAGAAGCTGAAGTCAGTCAGTCCGGCTTCAGTCGATGGGTCTGATCATCATACGCACAGACTTCATGGAGTAAAAACCCCCTCCATAATCGGCCCAGAATATGCCGTCCTGAAAGCGGCTGCGATAGACTCCTCCGGAGTACCACACGCCGTTCAGATTGGCCTGACCGCAGGCGCTGTACCACCAGCCAGCCTTGTGGAAATGAGCACAGTTACCTGAAAGACAATCAACCATCAGTGTCTTAGTCATTCTGCCTCTCAGTTAATGTGCACTATATTGCCAAAAGTATTGGAACACCCCCTTCTAATCAACAGGTTTGACTACTTTCGGCTGCGATAGACTCCTCCGGAGTACCACACGCAGTTCAGATTGGCCTGACCGCAGGCGCTGTACCACCAGCCAGCCTTGTGGAAATGAGCACAGTTACCTGAGAGACAATCAACCATCAGTGTCTTAGTCATTCTGCCTCTCAGTTAATGTGCACTATATTGCCAAAAGTATTGGGACACCCCCTTCTAATCAACAGGTTTGACTACTTTAGTAATTTCCACGAGTACAAATCTGAATGTTGAAGCATATGATGATATTCCAGGGAATTGTGTGCTTCTAATTTTATAGCAGCAGTTTGGACAGGACCCTTTTCTATTCTAACATGACAACGCCTCTGTGTATAAGACAAGGTTCAAAAAGAAATGATTGATTGAGTCAGTGTGGAAGAACTGGACTGGTCTGCTGTGACTTTAAATGCAGACCTCGAGCCAAAAACTCATCAGCAAACACCAGTGACTTGTACTTATGGCTACAGTCATTTTAGACACTTACAAAACTGGAAATTCATGGAAATTACTAAAGTAGTCAAACCTGTTCATTAGAAGGGGGTGTCCCAATGCTTTTGGCAATATAGTGTATCTTGACTGTTCTTCAGATATTTGCACTGGAAAACAAGAATTATTTAGCATAGTATTGTTGTTGTCCTTGTAAACATGTCATTCTGAATGATGTACCATATGTAACTCAGTTTGAATGACCCACAATGACCCAGGGTTTATAATGACACGCCATAAACGATCTCACGTGTGGTGAAGGATCACCTGAGAAGGCGTCATTGTCGTGGTCCAGCGTGGTGAACTGCTTGCCGTTGTGGCTGCTCAGTGAATCCCCAGCGTTGCCCTGGTAGGTTCCCAGACGCAGACGGTACGCCTGGCTCTCGGGCTCCAGGTGGAAGCTGCTGTAGGCTGCGTAAACCTTCTTCCCCATCCAGTCCTCCAGCTCCACCAGCAGCTTGTAGTCTTCCTGTTTGCCCAGGTTATAGATGTTTTCCAGACCCAGCCAGTGTTCACCATCCACATCACCAAAGCCTTTCTGGAGGACAAGAAAAAGAGAGCTGAACACAACTATATTTACTGCAGTCACTGGATGCTGTTATCATTAGCACTGCATGTTACCTTTGAAATACTGGAAATGCAAAGTAACCTCAGGCTTCTTTGAACAACGGGGCTTTGGGCTGATGAGGGATGTTAAAGACATCACTGCTGATTTCAGCACATACTGCAGCCGACTGTTATTATTTCACTACAGCAATAAGCATGCGTGAGTTTAGTTACAGTGCAAACACACCTGCAGCAGCTCATCGAACACTTTGGCTTCGCTGGAAAGTGTGTGAAGTTGAGGTTTAGGAGGCTTTGCTCTGTGTGTGTGTGTGTGTGTGTGTCTGTGTGTG